CTGGCACCCAGTTGCCGGAGGAGCCGTCGCTGCGGGACAGAGGCAGGTTGGGGCTGATGGCCAGGGCTGCGCGGGGGGTCACAAGGGTCCCAGCACCCACCTGCGTGTGAGGCGGGCGCGGAAGATGGTGAAAGGAGGAGCCCTCCAGGAGCAGCGGAAGGAGCCGCGGTAGGACTCAGCCTGGCACGAGACGTTGATGCTCGGCTGCCCTGGGGGGTAACAGGAAGGGGATCTGCACACCCTAGGCTCCGGGGCTGCTGCTCCCAGCTCCAGCCCAGCTCCATCACCCACCTCCCCCTCAGCCCTGTCACCACGTCTCCCCCACGGCCCTGCTCCATCCCCACCCGGCTCCATCACCCACGTCCATCCCCAGCCCTAGGCCATCACCCATCCCCAGCGCCTCTGTCCATCCCCAGCCCTGCTCCTGCAGCCCCGCTCTCTCGCACCGGGCCGTGCCGGCTGTGTCCCACGTGCCGCCAGCCCCACGCACAGGCGTTCCTGACCACCACGTAGATGGAGTCCAGCAGCACGGAGCCGGCCCAGCAGCTGTAGTTGCCAGCAGCCGGCAGGTCCAGGCCCAGGATTCTGAGAGCTTTTCCCTCGGCCTCAAGCTCTACCATGGGCTCCTCATCGTCATTCAGCTTCCAGGTCACCTGCTGCTCTGAGGTGTTGCATTGCAACTCCACGTCCTGGTTCAGGTCCCCTAAATGAACTGCATGCGGGGGCAGAGGCTGTGTCAGGTCTGGCTCTGGTGCAGGCAGCCTCCACGTGAGCTCAGTGCCTTCCCTTCGGCACTGTGCTCAGCCCTGATCCATCACTCTGCATCCATCCTCAGCTCTGCTCCTTCTCCAGCCCCACTCTATCACCCACACCTATTTCTATCCCTGCTCCATCCATTCCCAGTCCCTACATTCAAATCCAATTTTGCCTCATCGCCCCTCCATCCGCCCCTGCCCTGCTCCATCACCAGATCCATCCCCAGCCCTCCCCACCTCCACATCCGTCCCTGCCCAGTTTCCAGCCCCGGTGCCCGTTCTGCCCCATCCCTGTCCCCCTAGCAGGGATGCTCACGTCCCCAGACTCCCGAGCAGCCAGGCAGAAGCCAGTCAGGCTTGGGGGCCCTGTGCCCCCCAGCAGTGGGATATCCCCCATTCCCAGTGCATCTTGGCCTCGGCAGGACTCACTCTTTGGGGGAAAAAAGGAGAGGGCTCGGGAAGGGCTGAGGAACAGCAGCAGCCCCAGCAAATGCAGCATCTGTGGGGAAGAGAGGCCCCATGGTGAAGGGAGACGAGGGGACCAGCTGTGCCCATGAGAAGGGACCAGCTGCGTCCAGGCCACAGGACTGCGAGGGCAGAGCAGCCTCAGTCCGGGATGGCTGCGGGATCACGTTGCGGGATGGGAGCAGGGCCGGGTGGGATCCTCTGCGGGGGGAACCAGGGGCCAGAGGACAGGACCTCCTGACCCTGCAGCCCCGGGGTGGCGGGAGCCTCTGCCTGCGATGGAGGCTGGCGCCCCTCACGGGGCAGCATCCCTGGGGGCCC